GGGAGCAGTGGGCTGCTATGGTGTGGCTCCCCGTGGGGAGCAGTGGGCTGCTATGGTGCGGCTCCCCTTGGGGAGCAGTGGGCTGCTATGGTGTGGCTCCCCGTGGGGAGCAGTGGGCTGCTATGGTGCGGCTCCCCTTGGGGAGCAGTGGGCGGCCATGGTGTGGCTCCCCGTGGGGAGCAGTGGGTTGCCATGGTGCGGCTCCCCTTGGGGAGCAGTGGGCTGCTATGGTGCGGCTCCCCGTGGGGAGCAGTGGGCGGCCATGGTGTGGCTCCCCGTGGGGAGCAGTGGGTTGCCATGGTGCGGCTCCTCTTGGGGGGCAGTGGGCTGCTATGGTGCGGCTCCCCTGGGGAGCAGTGGGCCGCGATGGTGCGGCTCCCCTTGGGGAGCAGTGGGCGGCCATGGTGCGGCTCCCCTTGGGGAGCAGTGGGCTGCCACAGTGCGGCTCCCATTGGGGAGCAGTGGGTTGCCACGGTGCGGCTCCCATTGGGGAGCAGTGGGCTGCCACGGTGCGGCTCCCCCTGGGGAGCAGTGGGCCGCCATGGTGCGGCTCCTGGGGAGCAGTGGGCCGCCATGGTGCGGCTCCCCTTGGGGAGCAGTGGGCTGCCATGGTGCGGCTCCCATTGGGGAGCAGATGGCTGCCACGGTGCGGCTCCCCCTGGGGAGCAGTCGGCCGCCATGGTGCGGCTCCTGGGGAGCAGTGGGCCGCCATGGTGCGGCTCCCCCTGGGGAGCAGGGTGGGGTTAATGGTCTTGTCAGGGCTGCTGACTCTCACGCTCTCACTCCATATCCACAGTTTGTCACGCTAAAAATTAACGGACATTAAAACTCAACTCCATTCCACTTATTTATATATAAAAATCCCATCTGATAAAAATCCAGTCGGCGTTTTCAACACAACCTTAGCGCTAACACAGGAAGCTGTGCAGGATTCAGATCCAGTCCGTATTTTAGTACCAGCCCTGTTCACCAGATATTGGAAGAAAACCAGGATATCTGAGCAGTGATTATTGCGAGGTGAAACACTTTTATCTTTATCCTATCTGCACTAATTAATGCAGATTTTAAGCAATCTACCATTTGAGGAAATATGAATAAAACAGCAGCTAGTTTAATTTATCAACGTAGAGGCTGAGTTTAGGATCTCATCATATTGACATCAAATGGTTCGTTTTCTCCATATTTAATGCTTTTATTAGTCGGCTTCACTCATTGGTTGCTGTAATCTATCCTCCTGGTTTAGTCCCAGTTTTAATCCATGTTTTCCTCACAAGTTAAATAATTATTGCTCAGTGTAATTTAATAATCTCTGTTGGATTTTAGGAATAATTAAACCAGGACAAATATAAAAGTTCTTAAAGCTTTCAGGTTTGCTTCTCAAACCCACAGGAGCTCCACAAAAAGAAAAAGAAGCATCGCATTTTATTTTCCTAAAGATCGGCCAAGAAAAGACCAACCGCATCCAGAGAGGACATGAAGAACATCTCAGCTATCCTGGATTCATAGAGGAGGAACCACAGGATGATCTCATTTATCTTTCATTAAATTATTCATTTATCCTTATTTTCCAAAATGAAACATCCAGAGAAGTTTTTATTGAATTTACAGCCTCCTAGAAGCTACGATTGTTTAGCTGTTTTTTTCAATTGTAAAAAAAAAAAAATTAAGAAAATAATAAGTTAGGATTTTTAATCTTTAGCCTGTTACCAAATCAAAATTCGCTGGTTCCTGTATCAGTGCCAGTAATCCAGTCAGAATGTTTATTTTTCTTAAACTGCAGAGAATAATAAATAAAGAAAGTTGTGAAATTCTTAGTTTAAAGAACATTTAAGATGCAAGTATTTCAGTAGTTCTGCTTTACTTCAGTTCTCTAAAAATCAGCAGAATATAGAAAATTATGGATATTTCCA